TTAAAAATGCTATGCCATATTTTACCATCTAATTTGCTGCAACAGTCAATCTTTTTTTTCAGTGTAGTATTCTTATTCATAAAATAACATTATGTTTTATTGTATATATTTATAAAAGAAGGAGCGGGAGGAAAGAGAACTGACATAACTATACATAAATGTTGATCTATGAAATATAATATTAATGTACCTAAATATATCTTCTACGAGGCAAGAAATAATTAAAAATGTAATTTCAAAGCATATTGTACGCTACGGAATATTGCACCTGGTACTTAGAATTCAGAACTAACTTTATATAAGCAAGAAAGCAGTCGCTTCAAGATGTATAAATCAAGAAGCACCTCTGATTAAGGAAACCTACTTTTGAACTTAAGTTCTGACTTTCTTAAGCTTAATGTAGGCACGTAGAATGCAATATCGGAGCATCGCGGATAACTTTAGATCGTTTTTTTTTTACGTCAAGTTATGTAGTTGCAGTTATTGCGATTATACTATAAATGCGATTCATTATGGAGAATTAAGACGCAGTTATAATTTGGTATTGAGTACAGGAAAAGTAAAGGAATAAACGGAAATGTAAATATAATGCGAAATAGTAAGAAAAAGAAGCGTAGCATCTTCCTTCAAGAAACTCTGAGAACGAGGAATTTACCTCTACGGGGCGTACATTATGGCTTTGAAAGCACGATATTTGCATATAACGAGCAATTAAGGAGCCAAAGGAAAGTCAAGAAACTTTTGCCGCGGGTTTACGTATGCACACAGAAGCGAGAAAACTTTTTGCATTCGTAAATGTAGTCGTATTATACGCATTTAATTAAACTTCAAGCTTTTTCTAAAATAAATATAATGCACAGTACTCTTCAATTACAAATTCCAATCAATTTGCAGTCATCTGTTCTAATAAAATATTAAAAAAATAGATTATGCGCATTTTCTAGTATTTTATTAACATTTGGCTTATTTATTTGTAACTAATTAATTAGATAATATTAAGAGAATTAATAATAATATAATATACGGACAATGAGAGCGTTAACACAGCGAGGTAATTGGTGCGCAATTTATACAATAGTCAAATAATATTCACGTAATATATATATTAAAACGGAGAATTCCGTTTTAACGGAGTTAAATGCGCACCAATTACCGCGCTGTGTTAACGCTCTCATTGTCCGTATATTATATTATTGTTTTTTAATTTCGAGAGCCCGATTAGTATTTAAATTTTGATTAAGAGAATTATTTATTTTATCTAGAATTATTATTTATTTTCTTGAAGCTTAATCTATAAGAGGAACTTTCAAAAAGAAATTTTTAATGTGATTTAAAAACTATTAATTAACGTTTTAACGTTAGAAATATTTTTTCATATTTACATATTTCTCTAAAATTAGATATTTTTTCATTTCAATCTCTAATATTTGTAGTTTGCAATTTCTGAGACAATTTGTCTACAATAAAGCGTCAGACACGTCTGATAATTCTGGATGTCTTTCTTTGTTTTAGAAATGGCATTCGGGCTTAGCAAAGGCAGCACAGAGATGGGCTGATCGTTGCCTCGGTTTGGTGCATGACAATGCGACCGGTCTGTATCTAGACGGCTTTGGACAGAGTGGACAAAACATATTCATCAGCACGGGTCGTACGCTCTGGTGAGATATTATTAAATCTTGTTTACTTCTAGTTAGCGAGTTCGCGTTGCAGTTGGTATATTTGTACAGATGTACTCTGTGCACGCGCGCTAGACTTTCGTGAAAATGCAGTGGTCCATCTGCCATGGATGCACCGTTAATTACCTTGCCACTGGCTTCATTATTTACATATCAAAAGATAACTTCTTGAAAAGATACCATCCGGAATGATTAATCTTACCGTTGAATATGTGACCAGATATCTCAAATTTTACGATTTTATTGCGAAACTCCGATATTCAATCAAGATAATTTCAAAAAGAGTTGATCACGTTCCGAGCCATCGGAAAATTTAGCTTTGCGCTGTGTTGAAAGAGTATATTGTAATTAATTCTTCAGTCAACAAAGTTAGAATTAGATTACGCAGGTAAACAGTCCATGATGGACTACACCGTAGATTTCGGCATACATACTAGGGGCTTTACAAACATCACCGGATGTAGATGATTTACGTTACGCGCGGACAAATCGCCATTGCCACAAATCGAAATCCCTCCTTCCGAAACATTCGTCGGAATGTTGTAGGAACTTCCCCATCAGAATGTGGTACATGGAGTACAAGGACTTCAAGTACGGGCCCAATACGACGAATGAGATCCTCGAGATCGGCCATTACACGCAGGTGGTGTGGGCGACGACACATCTGGTCGGATGCGGGGTGAGCCATTGCACCGGCGGCAAGGGTCCGCTCGGCAAGGATTTCTATATGTATGTTTGCAACTATGCTCCGAGGTACGTATCATGTTGAACAATTGAAGAACCATCTGAATAGCGAGTTCAGTTAAGCGGATTGAGTTTCATCATCTTGCATCTCATACAACAGAACTTTCGGATGCTTGCATTGAATACGTTCTTCAATTGAAAACGGAAACACATTTCCGGATATGTATTCCAGATATATTCTTTTTCTCTTGATCTTGACAGAGATCTTATAATTCCTTTTTCATATAAGTTATATTATTTCTCATATATCACGCATAATCGCTTGTATATAAATTTCATAAAAAATATTTGCAATATGATTCTCGCACGTTATTTTGTTTACATAAAACGCAACAAATTTTTTTTTCCGAATTATATAGCATAACAAAATACACGCGTAACACAACGTTACACAAATACAGATTACATTGATACGGTAATGCGGTGTAATTATTTTCACCAAGGTTGCATGCCGTTTGCTGTGACTGTTATGATACACGGTTGTTTCTGCAACAGCAATTGCAATTGGGCCACGACTAGAACTTAGTTCATTAGCATGGAATTGACGCAATAATTTGCTAGAGGGAAATGCGGATTGAAACGGTTAACCGTAAACTTGACGAAAGTAGCGTCGTG